CGCGCCCGTACCGGACCGGGACCGGCTACGGGATCGCAACCCCCGGTGTTGCTCCCGCACCTTGCTCAGCCAGTGAGCAGCCGGTCCGTATGTGGGATCCGAACCCTCGGCAGGAGCGCCGCCACGCTTCCCAAGCGGTGCACTGTAGCAGTGCGCCACCGGGCCGGCCCGGGATTTAAAAATTTTTTAATTGAGTTTATATAAACTTGAGGGTAACTGTTTTTCTTTGACATATTTACTCTGTACATTGCGATTTGCAGGGTGCTTAGAGGTGGATGAATTGACATGGTCATTTGCTAACAGCATATTGTAAATCTCTTAGTTCTTTGTTCTAAATCCTAATGAACAATTGGCAAAATTCTAAAGTATCTAGAACCTCTGCTTTTATGGTGAGTGGCTTTAGATACTGGTTGGTGGATGGTGTTTCTTTGGTTTGTTTTTTTTTTTAAGATGGCACATGTAGCATTTGAGACTTAGGGCATGAGAGGGGTCCCCCTTAGCACATTCTTTTTGCTTTGGACACTTACCTTTGGATCTTACCATGAACAGGTGGCTGCTAGATATCTCTCTTCTTCCCTGGGTGAGAAGGAAAGCCCAAGGCTTCCAGATGGGCTGCTCTGTGGCTGAACCAGCCCTTAGGGACCCAGGTGGTCCCACTTTTGTGTGCCGCATCACGTTGGTCATAAGGCTACCTCACTCACATCTCCAGAGAGAGGGAGGTTGGCTTCTGTGGCTCTCTTAAGAACGAGGAGTAACACTGGTGCCTCCAGCCAGGCCAGGTGATTTGGGAAATGGCCTCCCCCACCCCATGTGTGGCAGGCCCCAGCTTGCCTGCTTCTGCTGCCTGGGGGCAGGATGGCATGCGGGCTCGGGGAGGAGAGCTTGTGGGTGCCTGGTCAGTGAAGGGCATGTGGGAGCATCACCACACAGGCAGCATGCCACCTCTACCATGTGTTGCTCATGCAATGGTGGTGGTGCTGTCAGAAGTGGAGCCCAGGTCTCTGCATTTTTTTTTTTTTTTTTTTTTTTTTTTTTTTTTT